TTCTGAAACACGAAAAATCCCTGTGACACGGGGAAGCATAATGAGAAATGCAATTCATTTCAATAACTTATTAGTGAGCGCTAACTACTTGACAGGCACTAAAGACGGACACCCAGACACACACACAGTCTGCTCTCAAAAAGATTGACAGTTTAGGGCGCCTGGGTGGCTCACATGGTTAAGCGTCTGCCTTCGGCACAGGTCATGATCTCAGGGTCCTGGGATCGAGTCCCGCATCGGGCTCCCTGCTCCCTGGGAGCCTGCTTCTCCCTCTGCCTCTCTCTCTCTGTCTCTCATGAATAAATAAATAAAATCTAGGGGCGCCTGGGTGGCTCAGTCGTTAAGCGTCTGCCTTCGGCTCAAGTCATGATCCCAGGGTCCTGGGCTCCCTGCTCTGCGGGAAGCCTGCTTCTCCCTCTTCTACTCCCCCTGCTTGTGTTCCCTCTCTCACTGTGTCTCTCTCTGTCAAATAAATAAATAAAATCTTTTTAAAAATAAATAAATAAAATCTTTAAATAAAAAAAAAAGATTGACAGTTTATAAAAACAGAAGAGCTCAAAAAGAAAGCAATGTAAGATCTACTACTACACTGAGAATCTACTATGCTTGTTTGCCAGGAATGATCTATCATAGGCAATAGGAATAGAACGATACTTACAGCACAAGCCAGTCTTAAGTTTAAATTTGGGGTGGGCTAGGGCTAAGTAGGAGGAAAAGACATGGTGAAAAGAAACAAATTAAGTAATGCTCTCTCTCATTCACTCAGCACACCAGGGTCAGCATAGTCTTTTCCCCAACCAAACATAATCCAAAATAATCATCCACAACCAGACATTTCTGACTCCATTAGGAAAATTTCACCATCACAGCTGATATCCAACATAAAACAGGGGAAAATATATATATTTATATATGTATATATTTATAGGAAAATAACCTTGCTAAAACTTAACTAATTCCACAAGTTCAATCCAAAATGGATTTACTAAATGTTCCACACAATTGAATAAAAAGATCTTTTTTTTTTAAAGATTTTATTTAAGAGAGAGAATGCACTCTCAAGCATGAGGGGGGGAGGAGCAAAGGGAGACAGAGAATCTCAAGCAAAGTCCATGCTAAGTGCAGAGCATGATGCCAGGCTCGACCTCACGACCCTGAGATCACGACCGGACCCAAAACCAAGAGTCAGACACTTAACCGACTGAGCCACCCAGGAACCCCAAAGATCTTTAAACTACTGTTCAAGAGGGTAGAACTGAGGCTCTGAATCAAAAAAACAAAAACAAAAACAAAAACTTGGGGCACCTGGCTGGCTCAGTCAGTAGAGCATGCAACTCTTGATCTTGGGGTCATGAGTTCAAGCTCCACGTTGGGTAGAGAGTTTACTTAAAAGAAAAAAAAAAGAACCCTCCATGACCTGAAGTGTCATGAACTGGTCTAAAGCAGTATTTTTTCTTTAAAGTCACATCGTATTGGTGGTTCCTGAAATCAATCTGGTTAACAACCAACAGTACTTAATAATAAAAAAAAATAGAACACATAATATTGAACTGCACATTTTACAGGAAAGAAATGCTTTTGTGAAACTTCTGTTTCAGTTGTACATGTGTGTATACTGAGTCACAAGTAAAAAAAAGTATCTTCTTCCTATGGATCTCCTATCTATGCATCTTCCTCTTTTGATCACTTAATTTCTGCTACCACTGTGTATTCATAGCCAAAGAAGTTCATATGTAGCAACCGCCCTAAGTGGTAGTAGCTACGGCACCAGAATCTGGTCCAGTTATCAAATCAAATAATTCTTACCATGTCAACCACTAATCAGAGTTTCTGATTAGCACAAGAAAGCCTGTTTTCCCAAACTGAGATGAAATAATTCTAACCAAGAGTAAATTATCGATGCATTAAATACCTAGGATAGCAAGTATAATTACTGTACAACTTTTAAAAATAATAAAAAGTTTTAAGATCCCACTCTCATTAACATAAACCTGAACTCCATTGTCAGAAACCCAGCCTGGGAACCTCTATTTTAAGATTATCTATCTCCAGACCAATAAGTAGGTCCTGGGATGAATAATCTACCCTAAAAAAGATCTGATATGTAATATGTCACAGAACTTTCAGGGGACTTACATGAGTGGTAAACAAGACCAATAACAAAAATGATCATGGTCTCTTTTCTTCACAGCCCAATCTTTAATAATATGAATCCTGAACAAATCAGGAGCAATTATACTGAGACCATTCAGCTATTTAAAGAATAAACAAGAAGATAGCTGTTTAAAAAAGTAGTTTTTAGGGGCACCTGGGTGGCTCAGTCGTTAAGCGTCTGCCTTCAGCTCAGGTTGTGGTCCCAGGGTCCTGGAATCAAGCCCTGCATCGGGCTCCCCGCTCCACGGGAAGCCTGCTTCTCCCTCTCCCACTCCCTCTGCTTGTGTTCCCTCTCTCGCTGTATCTATCTCTGTCAATTGAATAAATAAAAAAAATTAAAAAGTCGTTTTTAAAAGTTCACATGATTCATGGGACACCTGGGTGGCTCGGTCGGTTAAGCATCTTCCTTCGACTCAGATCATGATCCCAATGTCTTGGGATCGAGTCCCACATCGAGCTCCTTGCTCAATGGGGAGACTGCTTCTCCCTCTGCCTGTGGCTCCCCCTGCTTATGCATGCATGCACGCTCTCTCTCTCTGACAAATAAATAAAATCTTTTAAAAATAAATAAAAAATAAAAGTTTACATGATTCTGTATCTTGACTGTGGTAGTAGATACACGAACCTATCCAAAAGGTCATGTGCTGTATACTTTATGTGACTTTCTTGAAATAACAAGATGACAAAGACGGAGAACAGATCAGTGATTGCCAGGAGTTAGGGGTGGGGGAGAGGTGTGACTATGAAAGGGGAACTACTGTAGTGATGAACTGTATCTCGACTATGGTGGTAGATACACAAATATATACATGTAACGAAACTGCAGAGAACTCATACACAAAAGAACAAGTAAAACTCAGGAAATCTGTGTAAGATCTAGAGACTAAGTCAATGTCAATATTCAACTTGTGATACTGTACTACAGTTTTCCAAGTTGTTACCACTGGGAGAAATTAGGTAAGGTACACAGATCATTCTGTATTTCTCACAAATGCACTGAATATATATATTATCTCAACAAAAAATCAATTTAAAAAGTTAACATAAGAAAAAAAAGTTAACATGAGCAATTCAGTAGTTGGTAAAAACCAACCACCCATGCTGAGAATACACATATGAAATAGTCAACTAAAAAGATAAGCATTTTAAGGGGCGCCTGGGTGGCTCAGTGGATTAAGTGTCTGCCTTCGGCTCAGGTCATGATCCCAGGGTCCTGGGACTGAGCTCCACATTAGGCTAGCAGGGAGTCTGCTTCTCCCTCTCCCTCTGCCTGCCACTCTCCCTGCTTATTCTCTGTCAAATAAATAAAATCTTATAAAAAAAAAAAAAATTAAGCATTTTAAGACTGCTACCATAAATTTGTTGATAACTAAATTGGACATTAAGATCATTTTTTTTTTATTTGAGTGGAGAGAGGAGGGAAAGGGACAAGCAGACTCCCTGGTAAGTCGGAAGCCCGATGCGGGGCTCAACCTTACCACCCTGAGACCATGACCAGAGTCCAAATCAGGAGTCGGTCACTTAACCAACTGGGCCACCCAGGCACCCAAAGATCAATTTTAATTAACTCTCAGTGTAGAAGTTGCCCAATTTTTATAGCTTTCAGCCAAAGATTTAACTGCATAATTCTTAAGCAGCCTCCACTGCATACTTAAGCTGAAAAAGTTACTGAAACATTTTAGTGGATACTGCACCAGACCAGTTTAATGCATGTTACTTGATACTGTACCTGGACTTTTAGATATTTTAAGGCTCTCATCTTCATTCTGATTTAATTTTCTGTGCCAAAAACTAAAAGCTAACTTTTACATATAATCCATATATGACCACAATTCTGGCTGTCAACTTAGTTAGAAAGTAACAATTCAAGGGGCGCCTGGGTGGCTCAGTCGTTAAGCGTCTGCCTTCGGCTCAGGTCATGATCCCAGGGTCCTGGGATCAAGACCCGCATCGGGCTCCCTGCTCCGCGGGAAGCCTGCTTCTCCCTCTCCCACTCCTCCTGCTTGTGTTCCCTCTCTGGCTGTCTCTCTCTCTGTCAAATAAATAAATAAAATCTTAAAAAAAAAAAAAAAAAAAAAGAGGGGCGCCTGGGTGGCTCAGTTGGTTAAGCAACTGCCTTCGGCTCAGGTCATGATCCTGGAGTCCCAGGACTGAGTCCTGCATCGGGCTCCCTGCTCGGCAGGGAGCCTGCTTCTCCCTCTGACCCTTCCCCCTCTCATGTGCTCTCTCTCTCTCTCTCATTCTGTCTCAAATAAATAAATAAAATCTTAAAAAAAAAAAAAAAGAAAGTAACAATTCAGTATTTCAAAAGTAGGATTCTGAGATAAAGAAACCTGTACCATCAACTGTTTTCAATGGAGATAAAGTCAGTGGTTACTGAGTGTGGTTTTTATCCTTGTCATTAGCATACAGAGCAAGAGAGCTTTTCCATTTTTATGCTGTTTTTTAAAATGGATTGTATTAACTTATCAAGTATTTAAACCAATAAAAACTGAACAAACTAATTCTTACTGGATTACTGAATTCATCTTTGCAAAAATTAACCAAAACAATACAGTATTTTCTAGATAAAGTAAAGTGACCTCTTAAACTAGGAATAAGGAATTCAAAGATTTAATCATGAGTTGAAACCAGCTTTCCCAAAGCCAGGCTTTAAGGCTCTCATCTTCATTCTGATTTAATTGTATGGGATATGATTTGGGAAGCAGAATTTTTAAAAGCTCCCAGATGATACTAAAGTGCAGCAAAAATTTGGGAAACAGAGCACCATAGAGACAGTGCCAGGGCAAGTGAGAGCCAGATGGGCACTGGGCTACTCTGTACCTCGCTGAGGAAAATACTTAAACATGGGCAAAGGAGATCCTAAGAAGCCAAGAGGCAAAATGTCATCATATGCATTCTTTGTGCAAACCTGCCGAGAGGAGCACAAACAGCAGCACCCAGATGCTTCAGTCAACTTCTCAGAGCTTTCTAAGAAGTGCTTAGAAAGGTGGAAGACCATGTCTGCTAAAGAGAAAGGAAAATTTGAAGACATGGCAAAGGCGGACAAGGCCCATTATGAAAGAGAAATGAAAACTTATATCCCCCCTAAAGGGGAAACAAAAAAGAAGTTCAAGGATCCCAATGCACCCAAGAGGCCTCCTTCGGCCTTTTCCTTGTTTTGTTCTGAGTATCGCCCAAAAATCAAAGGAGAACATCCCGGCCTATCCACTGGTGATGTTGCAAAGAAACTGGGAGAGATGTGGAATAACACTGCTGCAGATGACAAGCAGCCTTTTGAAAAGAAGGCTGCTAAGCTGAAGGAAAAATATGAAAAGGATATTGCTGCATACCGAGCTGAAGGAAAGCCTGTTGCGGCAAAAAAGGGAGTTGTCAAGAGCAAGAAAAAGAAGAGGGAAGATGAGGAAGATGAAGAGGAGGAGGAGGAATATGAAGATGAAGAATAAGTTGGTTCTAGCAGTTTTTTTCTTGTCTATAAAGCATTTAACCCCCCTGCACACACTCACTCCTTTTAAAGAAAAAAACCGAGGGCACCTGGGTGGCTCAGTTGGTTAAGCGACTGCCTTCGGCTCAGGTCATGATCCTAGAGTCCCGGGATCGAGTCCTGCATCGGGCTCCCTGCTCGGCAGGGAGTCTGCTTCTCCCTCTGACCCTCCTCCCTCTCATGCTGTCTCTCATTCTCTCTGTCTCAAATAAATAAATAAAATCTTTAAAAAAAAAAAGAAAAAAGAAAAAAAGAAAAAAACCGAAATGTAAGGCTGTATAAGATTTGTTTTTAAACTGTACAGTGTCTTTTTTTGTATAGTTAACACACTACACCAAATGTATCTTTATTTTTTTTTTTTTAAGATTTATTTATTTATTTGAGAGATCGAGAATGAGAGAGAGTACATGAGAGGGGGTAGGGTTAGAGGGAGAAGCAGGCTCCTTGCTGAACAGGGAGCCCGATGCGGGACTCGATCCAGGGACTCCAGGATCATGACCTGAGCCGAAGGCAGTCGCTTAACCAACTGAGCCACCCAGGCGCCCCACCAAATGTATCTTTAGATAGCCCTGTCCTGGTGGTATTTTCAACAGCCACTAAACTTGCCTGACACAGTATGGGGGTTGTAAATTGGCATGGAAATTTAAAGCAGGTTCTTGTTGGTGCACAGCACAAATTAGTTATATACGGGGATGGTAGTTTTTCTTCAGTTGTCTCTGATGCAGCTTTTACAAAATAATTTTGTTCTGTTAAATGAATACCACTCTGTAATTGCAAAAAAAAAAGCTGCAGCTGTTTTGTTGATATTCTGAATGCTTAATAAATACAATTTTTTTATTAAAAAAAAAAATTGGGAAACACCAGACATCCAAGTAACTTGGATAGCTTACTTCTGAAACAGTTTCCTTAGAGCAGCAAGGTCCTAAACTTTTTATTTCAGGACACCTTTACTTTAAAAATTGAGCATTCCAGATGCCTGGGTGGCTCAGTTGGTTAAGCGTCTGCCTTTGGCTCAGGTCATGATCCCAGGCTCCTGGGATCAGGCTACCTGCTCAACAGGGAGACTGCTTCTCCCTCTGCCTGCTGCTCCCCCCTGCCTGTGCTTGAGCTCTCTCTCTTCGACAAATAAATAAAATCTTTAAAAAAAAAAAAAAATTTGAGGCTTCCAGGGCACCTGGGTGGCTCAGTAGGTTAAGTATCTGCCATAAGCTCAGGTCATGGGATGGAGTCCCACATCAGGCTCCTTGCTTGGCAGGGAGCCTGCTTCTCCCTCTGCCTGCAGCTCCCTCTGCTTGTGCTGTCTCTCTCACAAATAAATAAATAATATCTTTTTAAAAAATTGAGGATTCCTCCAAATTTTTGTTTATTGTGATATTTATAGACATTTGCCATTTAGAAATTAAAACAGAAAAATTCAAAATATTTAATATGTATTTAAGACAATGATAAACCCTCCTTTCACGAACATGACGCCAAAGACAAAGAAGGAAGCCCCTGCCTCTTCCAAAGCCAAAGCCAAAGCCAAGGCTTTGAAGGCCAAGAAAGCAGTGCTGAAAGGCGTCCAGTCACAAAAAAAGATCTGCATATCAGCAACATTCTGACATCCCAAGACACTACGTCTCCAAAGGCAGCCCAAATATCCTCGAAAGAGCACCCCCAGGAGAAACAAGCTTGACCACTATGCCATCCTTAGGTTACCCCTGACCGAGTCAGCCATGAAGACAACACACTTGTGTTCATTGTGGATGTTAAGACCAACAAGCACCAGATCAAACAGTCTGTGAAGAAGCTCTGACACGGACGTGGCCAAGGTCAACACCCTGATCAGACCCAATGGAGAGAAAGCGTATGCTGGACTGGCTCCTGACTATGATGCTTTGGATGTTACCAACAAAACTGGGATTGTAAAGAAAAAAAAAAATTTAGACCATCTAAACTGAGTCCAGCTGGCTAAATCTAAATATACAATTTTCACCATAAAAAAAAAAAAAAGATAAACCCATTACAATCATTATTTCCCCTTCCCCAAAAACTAGTAGAGTGACATTTTTTTCTTACATTTTTTTCATCTCTTTAATGTTTAGCTTAATTTAATTGAAATGACTAGATTCTCATGTCTGCTGCATTCAACCTGTTGCAGTATGTTATTTGGGTTGAAGTATAAATATATGGACTTACACAGATATATATTTATTTGTAAAAAGGAAGTGTATTTTAATATCCTCAGAAAATTGTGAATATTAATATTTCAACAAAATTTGACAATGTGGCATCTAAAATCACATCAATAAGGGGCGCCTGGGTTGCTCAGTCGTTAAGCATCTGCCGTAAGCTCAGGTCATGATCCCAGGGGTCCTGGGATCGAGCCCCACATCAGGCTCCCCACTCAGCGGGGAGTTTGCTTCTCACCCCCACCCCCGGCTCGTGCTCTCTCGCTTTCTTAAATAAATGAAATCATTAAAATATAAAAATAAAAATAAATCACATCAATAAGCTTTTAGTACTGTTACATTAAAGTGCATTTGTTTATTTTGCACTTTGGAACTTTTAACCAAACATGACTTTACATCATGCACTGATCATTTAGAACACACTGGTTTCACAGAACTATACATATCATCTAACTCACATTTCTTATAAAACAAAATAATCATTTTTATTAAAATCACCATTGGTCTTCAACTAACATCTTCTTTAATTAAGATAGAAGTGTTTGTTAAAGTATGTGTAGAAGCATATGGGAATAGCCATTTACTTAACTCACTGAAACCAGAGTATTTTTTTTTTAAGATTTTATTTATGGGCGCCTGGGTGGCTCAGTTGGTTAAGCGACTGCCTTCGGCTCAGGTCATGATCCTGGAGTCCCTGGATCAAGTCCTGCATCGGGCTCCCTGCTCAGCAGGGAGCCTGCTTCTCCCTCTGACCCTCCCCCCTCTCATGTGCTCTCTCTCATTCTCTCTCTCAAATAAATAAATAAAATCTTTTTAAAAAGGAGAGAGAGAGAGAGCATGAAAACGGGGAGGGGCAGAGGGGGAGGGAGAAGCAGACCCCCTGCGGAGCAGGGAGCCTGACGTGGGGCTCAATCCCAGGACCCTGAGATCATGACCTGAGCCGAAGGCAGATGCTTAACTGAGCCACCCAGGTGCCCCCAAACCAGAGTCTTTATTAACCATTGTTTAAGTAACATCTTCTTTCATTAATACATACGTGTGTTTGTAAACACGTGTAGAGGCGTATGGGAACAGCAGTATGCTTAACTCATTTGAACGACACTGTGTTTAATGCATCCTTCTTTTATTATGGCACCAGTTTGTAAACGTATGTATAGATACATAAGGGAACAGCCATATGCTTAACTCACTGAAACCAGACTGTGTATAAACCATCTTTCAAGTAACATCTTCTTTCATTAATATATATGTATTTGTAAATGTATGTGTAGAAGCATATGGAAATGGTCCTGTGCTTACCTCTTTGAAACTACACTGCATATAGTGTCTCTCAAGAAACATTTTCATTTATTAAAACATAAGTGTATGTAAACTTACATGTAGAAGCATGTGAGAACAGCCATATGTTTATCTCACTGAACCTACACTGTGTGAAAACCTTCTTTCAAGCAACATCTTCTTTCATTAAGACACAAATGTTCATAGACGTATATGTGGAAGCATATGAGAAATAGACCCGTCCTTAAAAAAATAATAATTAAAAAAAGTAAGAACTATTAATTACTGGGAAACTCAATCTCACAAGGCAGCTACAAGTGTTCAAAACTTGTATCTCCTTACAAATCAATTTTTATCACTAACAAATACTGACAATTGTTTCCCTTGAAGCATAGTCTACCTACATTCCCCTTCAAGAAAAATATCTGCCATATACTCATTTGAATGCCATAGCTTATCATTCTTTTCTTTGAATTCATTTAATATTGGGGCGCCTAGGTGGCTCAGTCATTAAGCATCTGCCTTCGGCTCGGGTCATGATCTCAGGGTCCTGGGATCGAGCCCCACATCAGGCTCCCTGCTCAGCAGGAAGCCTGCTTCTCCCTCTCCCACTCCCTCTGCTGTGTTCCCTGTCTGTCAAATAAATAAATTCTTTTTATAAATAAATAAATAAATTCATTTTAAAAATTGTGATGGAAATATTTTTTTAAAGCAGTATGGCTTCTTTCACTTAGCAGTATGTATTTGAGGTTCGCCATGTCTTTTCCATGAGTTGATAGCTCATTTCTTTTTTTTCTTTTTTTAAAGATTTTATTTATTTATTCATGAGAGACAGAGAGAGAGGCAGAGGGAGAAGCAGGCTCCCAAGGAGCAGGGAGCCCGATGCGGGACTCGATCCCAGGACCCTGGGATCATGACCTGAGCCGAGGCAGACGCTTAACCATCTGAGCCACCCAGGCGCCCTGATAGCTCATTTCTTTTTAGCACTAATATCCCACTGTCTGCATGTACCACTTTATCACTGAAGGACATCTTGGTTGCTTCTAAATTTTGGCAATTATAAATAAAGCTCCTATAAATATTCATGTGCAAGTTTTTGTATAGTCATATTTTCAACTCATCTGGGTAAATACAAAGGAGGAAGAGGATTGCTGGATCCTCTGGTAAGAGTACACTTAGTTTTGTAAGAAACTGACAAACTATCCAAAGTGGCTACACCATATCGCATTCCCACCAGTAATGAATGAGAGTTCTTATTGCTCCATATTCTCACCAGCATTTACTACTATCAGTTTGGATTTGAGACATTCCAGTAAGTGTGTAGTGGTATATCGTTGTTTTAACAGACAGTTCCCTGATGATGTGTAATGTTAGGCATCTTTCCATATGCTTATTTGACATCTATATATTTTCTTTGGTGAGGTGTCTGTTTAGATATTTTGCCCATTTTTTTTTCTTTTTTTTTTTTGTCAATGTAAGCTCTACACCCAACATGGGGATCATCTCACGACCC